GACAGTGAGATGAACTAGCCATTAAAACCATTCACTTTCTTTTTCTGATGCTTTCCTTATTAAGCAGTTTGTTATTATGATTTAACTTCTCAAGCATTGAAGATAAAAAAGAGAATGTATTTACTTGTTAACATGAATCTCTAACTTGCAAAATGAGGTGACATTTTGATCAAGATGTAATTTCCTAGAGGGTTTAACTCCTGTGAATTAGTCCTTGTTGGTTGACACAGGTTGTATTGACAAAAATCAAGTCTCTGGATCTTCAAAGCTAAGATTCAGATTCTGAATCACAGCAGAGATAAAGAATGAATTCAGGGGGCCTCCCTGGTGGCGCAGCGGTTGAGCGCTGGGTTGCAAAGCTGCCCGCGGCCTCTGCGGCGCCGGTTCGATCCCCGGCTGCACCCCGGCCACCAGAGGAGGGTCCCACATGGTGCTCAGACCTCTCCTGATGCCCGCTGCTCCCCTCAGCAGTGTACTTCGGTCCTCCTGCCTGCTCTGCTGCCCGCTCTGGCTCTGGTGAATTCTCTCACCCTCCCGTGCTTCTGACTGTACCCAGTGCATGTATAAACAAACAAACAAATAAATAAATAAAACATGCCTCTATTAAAAAAAAAAATGAATTCAGGGCCTCCCTGTGGCACAAGGCTTTAAGTTGCAGCACTCTGAAGCTATTCACAGCCACTGGAGCACAAGTTTGATCCCCGGCCAGGGAGATAACCCACATGGCACAGCAGACCTCTCCTGTCTCACCTGCTGCTCCCCTCAACAGTGTATTTCAGTCAATCCGCCTGTTCTGTTCCCCATCCTGGCTCTGGTGAATCCTCTCATCCCTCATACCTCTGGCCCCAGTTCTTGTATACATAAATAAATCTTTAAAAAAAAGAATGGGGCCTCCCTGGTGGCACAAAGGGTTGAGCACAGCACTGTGAAGCTGTCCTCAGCCTCCGCAGCACGAGTTTGATCCCCGTCTGGCCAGAGAGCTGCCCACATGTCGCAGCAGACCTCTCCTGTCTTGCCTGCTGTTCCCCTCAGCAGTGTATTTCGGTAGATCCACCTGTTCTACTCCCCGCTCTGTCTCTGGTGAATCCTCTTACCACCTACGCCTCTGGCCTGTACCCCAGTTCTTGTATGCGTAAATAAATAAATCTTTAAAAAAAAAAAAAAAGAATGAGTTTAGCCAGTAATCCAAGAGACTAGACTACCAGATATGGAGTCAAGGAAACTTGGATTAGAGGTCTGGTCAGCATCCACTTCCTTTTCTGTAAAGTGGGATATGCCTACTTCATTGCATTAGTGCAAAGAATAATTGAGATCACAAATGTAAACTGCTTATCAAGGTGCCTGGCATCATATCAGGAATAATGCCACACTGTAAGGTCTTTTGGGTCTCTTTCACCTCAAAATTGCCCTATCTCTGCTCTCTGTAGTGTCAGGATAAAACAATAGTTTCCATAAAGCATTGCATGATTAATTGCAGATGAGGGATTAAGATGTGGTTAGTAGGGCCCCACGGGTCTCGGAAAACACAGCAAGGTTATTTGGAAATTGATCTCCTCAAAACACCAACGATAAGTTCAAATACTGACAGTACAGTCTGGGGTGAGATTCGACCAGCACTATCCAAGAACAGCATCCTTTATTCAATATCAGCCAACTGATATCTTACAAGAATTTAGGTCTGCTTAATCTTACAGTTTTCACAGGAAATCTGGAATCTAGGTTTTCACATGAAGATACTCATTATTGAATACTCACATATAATTAAGAAAAAAATTTAATTACAAGTTAAGTCAAACATGCCTGTTAGTTTAATTTGGCTTATGACCAAGTTGTGAGCAGCACTTTTGTAATGCAATACTTAAAACTTTTGCATTTATTTGAACAAAAACTGATTCAAATTAGACAGTATCCAATCTAGCAGATAGAAAGAGGCTTGAGGAACTTTACAAAATAAAAGAAGAAAGCAGAAATAGGAAGTGATACTTGGCAAAAAGGCAGGTTGGCTATTCCCAGTTTACTTTAGAAACTATCAGACAGATTACCTAACAAGTGCTGATCATGCATGTCCTGATTGACTGGTTTCAAATTCCATTTCTAGGAAAGCCAAAACTGTAATTAAATTAAATCTTAGTTTGGTGCTGTGGGGCTTAACATAACTGATTCTATTTTGAGCTTGTGGTCTTTTATGCATTATTTTGTTTGAATATCAATTTGATCACACATGGTCCAGGAACACTCAAATAATAAGCCAAATATAATCAGATGTTTAAGACTGGTCTTCAAACGTTATAGTCAATGGATGCCACACTTGCCTAAGATTTTTTTTTTAGAAGATTTATTTATTTATGCATACAAGAACCGGGGTACAGCCCAGAGGTGTGTGTGTGTGGGCGGGGGCGAGAGGATTCATCAGAGATATAGAGTGGGGAACAGAACAGGCTGACTGAAATACACTGCGGAGGGGAGCAGCAGGCAAGATAGGAAATGTCTGCCACACCATGTGGGATGCTCTGCAGCCGGCGGGTATCAAACCGACACTGCAGAGGCTGCAGACAGCTTCACAGTGCTGTCCTCAACCGCCTGCGCCATCAGGGAGGCTTTTGTCTCGAGCTGGGGTACAGGCCAGAGGTAATGGGGAGGGGGAAGTGAGAGGATTCACAAGAGACAGACTGGGGAACAGAACAGGCAGACCGAGTGAAATACACTGCTGAGGGGAGCAGCGGGTGAGACAGGAGAAGTCTGCCACGCCATGTGGGTAGCTCCCTGGCTGGCTGGGGATCAAACTCGTGCTGCAGAGGCTGCGATTGCTTCATAGTGCTGTGTTTAACCCCCTGCACCTCCAGGAAGGCCCCAAACCAACAGAACTTTGATGGTCCCGGTGGAGTAGTTGCTTGAGAATGATGAAATAAAAGAAAATCGCTTCGGATTGAAATGCCCAGGAGTGAAAGAGACTGGAGTGAAATGGGTTAGAAGTACTGCAGCAATGTAAACAGGAGAAAGTAATTGTGTAATTTGAAGTGACAATAGGAGAAAGGGAAGGTAAGAGGCACATGAGAGATGTTTTTATGCAAGAATCAATATAGGTATGTGTAAAGCAACCAACCCATTCCGAGCAGGTTTATGAACGGTTCTAGCAGCCACATGCTCTTCGCCATGGTTTGTAGTCCCCGCACTCCTCCGTACACTCCACTCCTCCACCCTTAACACCGCACTACCACACACCGCACTCTGCTGCACCACCCTTATAAATCAGTCTCTTAGCGCAGGTGTGCCCACTCCAGGTGCCGCCATCAGGCATGCACCCAGGATCACAGGGCTCCCTCATCTATCCTGATGGCGGAAGGGCAGAAAAGCCTGATACCTTTTACCTTACCCTACAGTATGTGACTGGTTATCAGCAGACAAGGGAAGAAGAGTCTGAGATGATGCCACTCTCCAGTCCAGGTAACTGGGAGAAGGGTGGTGTGATTATCAGACATAAAATATACGTATCACATCTTTACCCATCCATCGGTAGATTAACAACTGGGTTGTTTCCATGACCTGGCTGTTGTGAATAATGCTACAATGAACATGAGAGTGCAGTTATAATTTCCTGATCCTGATTTCATTTTCTTTGGATATATGCTCAGAAGTGGAATGGCTGGATCATATGGTAGTCCTATTTTTTTTTTAAAGATTTATTTATTTATGCATACAAGAACTGGGGTACAGGCCAGAGGCATGGTGGGGGGGTGAGAGGATCCACCAGAGACAGAGTGGGTAACAGAACAGGCAGATTGAAATACACTGCTGAGGGGAGCAGCAGGCGGTCAGGAGAGGTCTGCTGCGCCATGTGGGTAGCTCGCTGGCTGGGGATAGAACTTGTGCTGCAGTGGCTGGGGAGAGCTTTATAGGTTGCATCTTAACCCCCTGTGCCACCAGGGAGGCCCTGGTAGTCCTATTTTAACCTTCATACTGTTTGCCATAGTATCTGTACCAGTTTACATTCCTACCAAGAGTGCACAATGGTTCTGTTTTCGCCACATACTTGCTAATATTATGTCTTTTCTTTGTGATGACAACAGGTGAAGTGATACTCGTTGTGATTTTGATTTATATTTCCCTGATGATTGGCGATGCTGAGCATCTTTGCATATACCTGTTGTCCATTTGATGTTTTCTATGGAAAAAACCGTCTCTTTAGTTCTTCTGTCCATTTTTCAAATAGTTGGCTATTTTGCTATTGTGGGTATTAACCCCTGCCCTGCAAATATTTTCACTCATTCCAGATGTTTGCCATTTCATTTTGTTGCTTACTTCTTTTTTTCTGTGCAGAAGCTCTTTAGTTTGATGTGCACCCCACTTACTTTTGCTTTTGGTGTCACATGCAAAAAAATAATCAAGATGAAGGTCAAGGCGCTTTCTGCTCAGTTTTCTTCTAGTTTTAGGATTTCAGGTCTTTGGTTTAAGTCTTAACTCCATGAAACACGTGCTTAAATAACCGCAGTGAGGGGCCTCCCCGTTGGCGCAGCGGTTGAGCGCTGGGCTGCGAACCTGCCCGCAGCCTCTGCACCGCCGGTTCGATCCCCAGCCCCCGGCGAAGGTCCCACATGGCGCGCAGACCTCTCCTGCCGCCCGCTGCTCCCCTCAGCAGTGTACTTCGTCAGTCTGCCTGCTCTGCTCCCCGCTCTGGCTCACCCTCCCGCGCTTCAAGACTGTACACAGTGCTTGTATGAATAAATAAATTAAAAAAAAAAAGAAGTGGAAAGCGGTCCCTCAACAGCCCTCACAATCCCACTCCAGCCCAAGAATCAGTTCTTAAGTTGGGGAGGAGCGAGAGGAAACCCCGCCTCCCCGGCCTACAGGAAGCGGCCGGGGAAGACTGCCTGCGCGCATGCGCGCGCCCCTGAGCTCCTGGGGGAGGGGGCGGGACCGGGGGAAGGGGTGTGGCTCGGCTTCCTGTTGGGCCGCCCGGGTCACGTGATGAGGAAGGAGGCGGAGGCAGCGCGGCTCGTTGGGGCGGGGGAAGCGCTAAGCCTGGGAAGCTGAGCCGCACGAGCGAGGGGGGGCAGGTCCTGTTTTGAAGGAGCAGGGAACCTTACCGGCCCTCGAAGTGAAGCGAGAGGGAGGCGCTTCGCCGTTTCTCCTGCCGGGGGAGGTCCGGCTCCCCGCGAAGAGTCCGGACCTTGCGCCCCTTCGGCTCGATGTGCTGCTGTTAACCCCGAGCGGGCGGCGTCGGCGGAAGATGGTGCTGCCGCGAGTGTTAATTCTGCTCCTCTCCTGGGCGGCGGGGCTGGGAGGTGAGGCACGACCCCGAGCGCCGGAGGCGCCGTGATCCCGGCGGACCGCGCGGCGGCAGCGGCGCCCGGGCCGAGGGAGCCCAGTTCCTGCGCGCGGCGGGCGCGGCGGCTCCTCAGCCGGCCGGCGGCGCTACAGCGCTGGCTGCCATTGTCCGAGGCGGGCCGAGGCGGCTCGGGGCCCCCGGCTTGGCCTTGCCCCCCCCGCGGCTCCCCGGCGGCTGGGGAGGAGGCGGTCGCCCCCCTGAGAGGCGAAGTCGGGGGCGCCGGGCGGCAGCCGGGGCGCCCAGGCCGGCGGCCGCATCCTCGCCGGGCAGGGCCGGGCTGTGCTCGTCTCCACACGCCCTCAGCCTGCTGCCCGGCCCGGCGGCGGAACGGGGGTGCGCGCGGAGGTGAGCCGCCGCGCAGGCTCGTGGGAAGTTGGGGTGCCTGCGGGGGGCTGCCGGGGTGCTCTGGACTCGCGCGGTCCCGGCCCGCCGCGGTCAGCGGAGGAGCAGCGTGGCGGGGGCTCGCGGCGTCCCGGGGGCTCGCAGCCCCGCGGCTTTGTCCACCTCCCGAGGCTTTTCAGGAGGGTGTGTTTATATTCCGGGGACGCTTTCTGGTGCCCAGGGCAAAGGGCTTTCGGGGTGTTCTTTGGTTTATGGGGGACTGGGTCTCTTGGAGGGAAGGTCCCGAGGTGACCCCGATGGAAGAGTTGCTTGGTGGACTTTTATGCTCTAGCCACAAAGTATGGGACTCCCCCCAGCCGCCCCCATCGAAGTTAAATTTACTGGAAGCTTATATGAATTCTTGGTTATTCAAAACCGAATTCTTGGTTTTTCGAAACGCGAATTGGAAGACGATTTTTATTTTCACTATGTGCTAGGACTGGCTGCATTATTTTGTTATAAAGTCTCGATTTTAAAGTTTTGACTTGCCCCAAAGTATACTGAAAAGCTGCAGTGTTTTTGATAGCACTGGGGTTAAAAAAAAAAAAAAAAAAAGCATCGGGTTGAAATTTTGACGGAATGCTTTGAATGAGTGTAGTTTCACTTGATTAAGTTGGAAAATACCCGATTAGTGGTTTTTTTCTGCTCGCTTTGACTTAGGACTGCCGAGCCAAGCATATTTTTGTCTTGCATTCAGTATACATTTGTAACTTTTTAACACATTTGTATTAACTTCCCAAATATGACTTTTGACAAATCACTTTCTTTCACTTTTTGTGATTACAGTCAGGAGTTAGAGACTGATTGCTCTAATGTGGTAAAAGGGAAGGCAGAGACGCATAAGGAACTTTAAACTACTGATGAGTAGTGTATAAAATATTCTTTGTTTTTAAAGAATGAAGGAGTAAGAATAAAAACTGGTATAATCTGATGGTAGAAGAAAAAGTGAACCAACAGTTAACTATCTTCTGTGGAGTAAGACAGGTTATAGAAAATTTCTAAATTCAGAGAACTCTGGAGTCACTTACAAAGTATCACTTTGCATTATTTTTTTTCTCTTTTATTACTAAAAGTAATTTTTTATATTACTTTTGTTATTATCTTTTGTTGTTATTATCACTTTGCCGGGCCTCCCCTGGTTGCGCAGCAGTTGAGCGCTGGGCTTCGAAGCTGCCTGCAGTCTCCGCAGCGCCAGTTCGATCCCCGGCCTCTGGTGAGGGTCCCACATGGCGCGAAAGGCCGCGCCCTCTGCTCCCCTCAGCAGTGTATTTCGTCAGTCTGCCTGTTCTGTTCCCTGCTCTGGCTCTGGTGAATTCTCTCACCCTCCCGTGCTTCTGACTGTACCTAGTGCTTGCATGCATGCATGCATGCATGCATAAATAAATAAATAAATAGATCTTTAAAAAAAAAAAAAAGTATCACTTTGCATTAAACATTACCTAAAAGTCTTTTTGATGTTGGTTTTACACAGAACTTAAAAGACACAAAAAGCTTCCATTTAAAATTAACACCAATATTGTAATTTTTGGGTACATGGAGATATAAGTAACTTTATTGTAATGTATACTATTTTCTTCTACTTTTTTTGATCTGTTTATGGTCAAGTTTGTAAGAAGTTTGTGTGATGATTTGTGGAATAGAATACATTCACACTGAATATTTGTTTTAGCGCATGACATAGAAGACAGTGAAAATATGGGTTTAACTTAGATGCAGAAATCATTTTTAAGTACTTTTGCTTCCCCCCCTTTGCAATTTGTCAATCACTGTTTTCTATTAGTTTTTCTTGCTCTTCATCTGAAAGGTGTGAAGTGCTTAGAATAAAAAAAACTTAAACATTGCTTATGCTGTCCATTTCTACCTTATATTGTATTTGTAGGAAGATACCATAGCTTTTTTAGAGTTCAGCAAGTGCGTATGTAAATATGTACTGACATACATACATTAAAATGCTTTTCTTCATAATTTATAACTATATTAGAAATCGATGAACTGTTTTGATTAAATGTAGCCCAGAGAATTATGTATGTCAGTACTATTTTTTAATACAAGTATGTTGGAGAGTTAATATCTTCTGTTCTCTTTAAATTAGTTCATGTGTTTGAAAGTCCAAAAGATATTTTAGCTATGGCAGTCAATTCAGTCCCATAATATCTTGGTTTGGTGAAACCAGGCTAAAGGAACTTTTGAGTGTGCCATGTTTTTTATATTAAAAAGTCTAGTGTAAATGCTTTGTTTAGAACCTTGCATTCTATAGAAATACTTTTTTTCTGGAACTTTGGCTCAAAGTGATAAAATATTAAATCTTAAACTGTTTCTTTCACTGCTACTGGCAAATAAGGGTCTATGAAGTTAATAAAAGACAGACTTTTTGTCTTAATAAGCTCTGAATTTCATCTTTTTAACTTGAGATTTAGAATCCACTTAGCTCTTTCATCTTCAGAAGACCCATTTTAGGCCATCCCCTACATTAACAGTATCTTTTGTGTGTATATATGAGGCCGCTCTGAGTAGCAGGATTGAAGGCAATAGGCATGACAGATAACTCTGTTATATGATGTTCTTTAATGTTTATAACTTGTTTAAGTTCTTTAGTGGTGTTATTATCTTATTATTTTAGACTTTGAAGTTGTATGGTTGACTGAGGAAGGGTAGGGCCACTTTTATGATGTCTGTTGTATAGCTGATAATTTTGTTAGGAGTTTCACTTTTTATTTTATTGTTTTTTAAAGATTTTATTTATTTATGCATGCAAGAACTGGGGTACAGGCCAGAGGTGTAGGGGGTGAAAGGATTCACCAGAGACAGGGTGGGGAGCAGAACAGGTGGATTGACTGAAATACATTGCTGAGGAGAGCAGCAGGTGAGTCAGGAGAGATCTGCTGCGCCATGTGGGTTGCTCCCTGGCCAGTTGGGGGAGTGATCGAACTAGTGCTGCAGAGGCTGTGGACAGCTTCATAGGTTGTGTCTTAACCCCTTGCGCCACCAGGGAGGCCCTATTTTATTAATTTTAAAATATTTTATTTATTTATGCATACAAGAGCTGGAGTGAAGGCCAGAGGTGGGGGAGATTGGTGCGGGGTGGGGTGTGAGAGGATTCACCAGCGATAGAGTGGGGAGCAGAACAGGTGGATCTACTGAAATACACTGCTGAGGGGAGCAGTGGGCGAGACTGGAGAGGTCTGCTGTGCCATGTGGGTCAGCTCTCTGGCTGGGGATTGAACTCATGTTGCAGTGGCTGGTGATAGTTTGATAGTGCTGTGTCTTTAACCCCTACGCTACCAGGGAGGCCTTGGAATGGCATATCTTAAAATATAGTCTGTGTGGCACTAAAAATTAGGTTTGTGTGTGTGCAGAGATTTGGGGGCAGGGCAAGGGCAGTCATTGGTCAAGCTGCTAACATGGTTTCAATGAGAGACTTATGAAACAGTGGGGAAGACAAAATCAGAGATGTGGAAGACTGTGGATAGAGAAACATCAGAATTTCATATTTGAGTCCCAAGTCACTCCAAATAATAGGAAATTATTTGCATCTGGTCTGTTTTCATATGGCAACTTTATGTGATAAGTTTGGGTCAAGAGTCTCAGGTTATGTTTTTTTATCCCCCAGGGGGGAATTGATTAGTTTATGATTGTTAATGATTCTTCCAAGCAATTCTGAAAAGTCTGCATGTTCTGAATAAGAATCCAGTAGTGTTAATTCTAACTTTTAGCTATCATTTTTTTCACCTAGGCATAGGAAGAGTACATGGGAAAACTCATGATCCTACCAGTTAGATTAGATTCCTGTGAGGGCAGTAACATAGTGTGAAGGTTTTTCCTAGGATGGGACAGTCCTATCCTAGGTAGATTGCAGGAAAATTGCAGTACTGAGAACAGTTCTCAGGGAATGTGGTAGTGTTGATACTGGATACTGGATGAATGCAGAGGTTACTACAATGGATACTGGATAAATGCAGAGGTTACTACAATTTCAGCTAAACAATTGTACTGTGAAGACATGCTGTTTAGTCACCAGAGTTGGTTGTGAATCTGTGGCTGGTTGGAATGATGAGGCCATAATCTTGAGTGAGGAGAGAAATGAAAAATACTGAGCTTGTCTCTGTAGATAGAAATGCCAAGATTTAAAAATATATTTCCAATTATGCATTTCGGTTGCAGTTGAAATGAGGATTCACTAAATAAGAAGGAATGTGAACTGGGCCATGATAACCAGGACTCTCACAATTCATATTCTAGGTTGTGCTGACTGTGAGGAAGAGTGTTGTGGATTATAGGTTGATGTCCATGTTAAAGAGCTGGGATGTGATACATTAGTAATAAATTCTATGCTTGATGAATTGGGTGACTGAGTCCTGGATTAGGGTAGTGGTTGTAGAAATAAATAAGAATAGGATGAGAAATGACGTGGGAAAAACTGGTAAAATTTGGCAGATGTTTAATGGGCAGCTAGCAAAGTTTATTGAGTGTCCACTCTTGCATTTAGATCTTAGAAGCTATTGCAGTGGAAAATGTGTGGTTTTATAAAACTTTGAGAACCTCAGATTTTGAAATTGAAAATGTCTTAAGATTTTT